TATCTTTATTAGGTTTTTCCATCTTCACATTCTTCTTTTTTGGTAGGATCCGTCCAGAACTTTCATCAGAAGGACTCTCATCTGAAGATGTGTATTTGACCATTCTCCTCTTCTTTGGGCGATTATCATAGGTGTCAGGTTCTTGTGTAGGGAATGACCTTGGGGAAGTTGATGGGTTTTCATTTGAAGCGACTTCATTAAGATCGTCTATTCGTGCACGCTCTTGTTCTTGTAGAGTATTTTTATCATCACCCTGTGCCTTACAGAGTATGTTGACTACACCAAGCACATCTCTCGATACAACAGATATTCTGTAGTGAGATCGATGAATTGCCTCGGCATGACCCATAAAATTGGCGATATCAATGATTTTATTCTCATCCATATTTTCTTCTGCACAAGTCGTGGCCACGTGCTTTCTCAAATACGTTCCACGTAGTCTCTCAGGGTGTTCTGCACCACATTCATTTGAAAACTGTCGCATCAGCTGGCAAGCGCGAAGATATTTAAATCTTCCATCAGTAAAGCCAGGGATACCAAATATATACGGATTCTTTGCTGGGACCTTCGTGGAGCTTCGATGCGATAATATCAAGCGGAGAGATTTTTCCATTTGCGAGTTGAGTAGAACAGGAACATCACGGCGCAACTTTCCGGTGATGACAAATCTTGAATATTTCTCGGCCAAAGTTTTCTGTATTGCAGATAATCTCTCATAGATCTCTGGGTGTTCGGTTTCCGATATTTTCTCTATTGCGTTAAGGTCGGCGATCAACGCTCTTTCAATTTCTCCAGCTCTACGACGATTAAAAGTCTGAATACAAATCAAGGTATATTGGAGTAGGCTGAGCCAGGTCTGATAAGAATATTGTTCAGTGAGATGTTTGTAAGTACTAATCATTTTATTATTAAGATGATCTGATAGTTTTTTAATGTCGCTGGTAGTTGGCAATGGTTTCACTTGTTGTCGATGTTTTGCTGATTGATCTTCACGTGCGACCCTGTTGACGACTTGGCTGTATTGCATAGTATGAAGAAACAAGTATTTGTCAACAATTTTTTCCTTCTCCTCGTCAATGTTTTCCACCCAGTGAAGTTTCAGAAGGTCGCCAACTGATTTAATATACGTTCCGACGGAAGTAACCACTGATGGAGTCTGATGAACTCCAGTCAATGGATCAAACCCTGAGAGTTTTCTTACAGCATCCAGCATAGTTTTGTACAGTTTTGGGTTGTAAATTGATTTAAAATCTGTTATTACTGGATCAATCTCTTTCATTGTCTTCAGCAATCGACCAAGTGTTCTTAAACGATTTCTTATCATCTCCTCCTGCTGTTGTTTGTAATATTTCTCACACAGACAATTTCCAAATTTAACCAACAACTCATCATACCTAACTAGTCGAACAATATCGTCTTCTCTCAACACCGCCATGACTTTGGCAAGCCGTCATTAGCAGAGTCGTGCAACCGCCCTTAATTCGCCTTGAAAGGATGACATTAGATCGTTCACCTTTACTTGAGGCACCGAGACAATTTTGGCGATGACGTCTGATTGTTTTGACCGAGAAAGCGCCTTTACAATTATGACCAGTTTTATACAATCTTGCAGATCTTTCTTCTTTGGGTCTCCGAGATACGAGTAACTCCCCTGTTTTGTTGTAAGCTTTGTCGGTGTTATATACATAGTTTCCTCTCAAACGTAGCGTTTCTTTTATTTTCTTCATCTCAGCATTTCCTAAAATAGTTAGGAAAGTAATATACTTTTAATGAAAATACCCTTATAGTTATAAAATGTTTTCAATTAATAGTCTAAGGGTAAAAACATAGTGGAGCGGCGAGCAAAGCGAAGAGCTAGCATCGAGCAAAGCTTCCTTTACAAACGTTTATGTACGCTTTGCTGTTCACTATACTCGCTGCCATGGAAACATATACGTTTGAAATCGATGCTTTTACTCGGCTGATCTAGTTTTTTTTTTTAGCAAAGTAGACGATTCTTCACTTTTAGTTGCCGGTACAATCGTGAGTTCAGCTGATTCATTTATGCAATCATCAGAACTAGACTGACTGTCGTGGTTTCTTTGATGGCGTGACATAAGTTGCACGTCCAAATCTTTATCTAAAAATTGAAAACAGTGGCTAACACTAGAAGTTGCGAGGCTCCTACTCGCGACGGAAATTATTCCACTTCATCATGAACAACTATATTAATATCAACATCTTAACCCCAATCTTAATCTCGATCTCAATCTTAATCTCAAATTCAATCTTAATCTTAATCGAGGAATAATTATCTTAATATTCAATATAGATCTTACTCTTAATATTAACCTCACTCCTGATCTTAATCTCAATCTTAATCTAAATCTTAACCCAGTAATCTTGATCTCAATCTCAATCCTAATTTCTGCCGTCCGCCGAGTGGACGTATAAATGGGGATAAAATTTTTTTAGACAGAAAGTCAACTTTTGCATACGATTATTACCTAAATATCAGTAAATCGCCTCATGTAAAAGCATTTTTAATCTCAATCCTAATCTTAATCATAACTTTACTCTCATTCTCAATCTTGCTTTCAATACCCAATCTAACCCAATCTAACCGTCCAGGTGCGCCTAAGTCGGCATCACCACCCACTATACTGATATATGTAACTACAACTAAACTAAACATCCCGACAGATATTATACAGAAAACAAGTAAGGGAAGTGCTGTTTTCGGCTATGCCGAAGACAGAGAGACTCACGAAAATGCTCGGTTTTATTCGTCCCACTGAAGGAGCAAAACCCAATAACTAAACAATCGGCTTTATGTTTATAGCTTCATAGATGGAGCAGTTATATCAAAAAACCTAATATTTGAACAATCAGTTGTACGGAGCCTACAAATTTTCCCTGTAAGCTTTCTGTTGGTAGTGACTGAAAATAGTGTGAAATTTCATGTTCCTAGCTTCATAAATGGAGTTATATCTAAAACCCCAATATCTGAACAACATACAACATACAACTGGTATGGAGGCTATAGGTTGTAGTCAACCGATCTTTGTCATTTTCACTGTAAGCTCACTTTAGGTAATGAGTAGAAAAAGCGCGAAGTTTCATGTTTCCAGCTTCATAAGCGGAGGAATTATAACAAAGGATGTCATATCCGAACAATCAATTTTATTTTTTAGTGCCTGGTTGCATCATATGTATCTATGTATGTATTGAACAAGGCAACCATTAATATGCTACGTATTGCCGAATCCTATATTACATGGGGTTATTCAAATCTTAAATCAGTGCGTGAATTGTTCTACAAACGTGGGATTGTCAAGCACAACCATCAGCGTGTCCCGATTTCTGACT